GGTGGATGGAAGGAGTATATAATAATAATAACAATAATATTATTTTTATTATTTTTTTTATTAACACACTGGCCGATTCCCACCAAGGCAGGGTGGCCCGAAAAAGAAAAACTTTCACCATCATTCACTCCATCACTGTCTTGCCAGAAGGGTGGTTTACACTACAGTTTTTAAACTGCAACATTAACACCCCTCCTTCAGAGTGCAGGCACTGTACTTCCCATCTCTAGGACTCAAGTCCGGCCTGCCGGTTTCCCTGAACCCTTCATAAATGTTACTTTGCTCAGACTCCAACAGCACGTCAAGTATTAAAAACCATTCGTCTCCATTCACTCCTATCAAACACGCTCACGCATGCCTGCTGGAAGTCCAAGCCCCTCGCACACAAAACCTCCTTTACCCCCTCTCTCCAACCTTTCCTAGGCCGACCCCTACCCCGCCTTCCTTCCACTACAGACTGATACACTCTTGAAGTCACACTGTTTCGCTCCATTTTCTCCACATGTCCGAACCACCTCAACAACCCTTCCTCAGCCCTCTGGACAACAGTTTTGGTAATCCCGCACCTCCTCCTAACTTCCAAACTACGAATTCTCTGCATTATATTCACACCAAACATTGCTCTCAGACATGACATAATAATAATAATAATAATAATAATAATAATAATAATAATAATAATAATAATTATTATTATTATTATTATTATTATTATTATTATTATTATTATTATTATTATTATTATTATTTCAGCATGATACAATGTTTGTACAGAGGAGAATGATATTTGGGTGCTTATGCCGAAGCTTTTCTGGAAAACTAGAGGCAGGAGTATATATGGAAGGAGTATATAAGGAAGTATATATGGAAGGAGTATATAAGGAAGGAGTATATAAGGAAGAAGTATATATGGAAGGAGTATATAAGGAAGAAGTATATGTGGAAGGAGTATATAAGGAAGAAGTATATATAGAAGGAGTATATAAGAAAGAAGTATATATGGAAGGAGTATATAAGGAAGAAGTATATATGGAAGGAGTATATAAGGAAGAAGTATATATGGAAGGAGTATATAAGGAAGGAGTATATATGGAAGGAATATATAAGGAAGGAGTATATATGGAAAGGGTATATAAGGAAGAAGTATATATGGAAGGAGTATATAAGGAAGAAGTATATATAGAAGGAGTATATAAGAAAGAAGTATATATGGAAGGAGTATATAAGGAAGAAGTATATATGGAAAGAGTATATAAGGAAGAAGTATATATGGAAGGAGTATATAAGAAAGAAGTATATATGGAAGGAATATATAAGGAAGGAGTATATATGGAAAGGGTATATAAGGAAGAAGTATATATGGAAGGAGTATATAAGGAAGAAGTATATATGGAAGGAGTATATAAGGAAGGAGTATATATGGAAGGAATATATAAGGAAGGAGTATATATGGAAAGGGTATATAAGGAAGAAGTATATATGGAAGGAATATATAACGAAGGAGTATATATGGAAAGGGTATATAAGGAAGAAGTATATATGGAAGGAGTATATAAGGAAGAAGTATATATGGAAGGAGTATATAAGGAAGGAGTATATACCTGGAGTTTACCTGGAGAGAGTTTCGGGGGTCAACGCCCCCGCGGCCCGGTCTGTGACCAGGCCTCCTGGTGGATCAGCGCCTGATCAACCAGGCTGTTGCTGCTGGCTGCACGCAAACCAACGTACGAGCCACAGCCCGGCTGATCAGGAACTGCCTTTAGGTGCTTGTCCAGTGCCAGCTTGAAGACTGCCAGGGGTCTGTTTGTAATCCCCCTTATGTGTGCTGGGAGGCAGTTGAACAGTCTCGGTCCCCTGACACTTATTGTATGGTCTCTTAACGTGCTAGTGACACCCTGCTTTTCATTGGGGGATGGTGCATCGTCTGCCAAGTCTTTTGCTTTCGTAGTGAGTGATTTTCGTGTGCAAGTTCGGTACTAGTCCCTCTAGGATTTTCCAGGTGTATATAATCATGTATCTCTCCCTCCTGCGTTCCAGGGAATACAGGTTTAGAAACCTCAAGCGCTCCCAGTAATTGAGGTGTTTTATCTCCGTTATGCGCGCCGTGAAAGTTCTCTGTACATTTTCTAGGTCGGCAATTTCACCTGCCTTGAAAGGTGCTGTTAGAGTGCAGCAATATTCCAGCCTAGATAGAACAAGTGACCTGAAGAGTGTCATCATGGGCTTGGCCTCCCTAGTTTGAAGGTTCTCATTATCCATCCTGTCATTTTTCTAGCAGATGCGATTGATACAATGTTATGGTCCTTGAAGGTGAGATCCTCCGACATAATCACTCCCAGGTCTTTGACGTTGGTGTTTCGCTCTATTTTGTGGCCAGAATTGTTTTGTACTCTGATGAAGATTTAATTTCCTCATGTTTACCATATCTGAGTAATTGAAATTTCTCATCGTTGAACTTCATATTGTTTTCTGCAGCCCACTGAAAGATTTGGTTGATGTCCGCCTGGAGCCTTGCAGTGTCTGCAATGGAAGACACTGTCATGCAGATTCGGGTGTCATCTGCAAAGGAAGACACGGTGCTGTGGCTGACATCCTTGTCTATGTCGGATATGAGGATGAGGAACAAGATGGGAGCTAGTACTGTGCCTTGTGGAACAGAGCTTTTCACCGTAGCTGCCTCGGACTTTACTCTGTTGACGACTACTCTCTGTGTTCTGTTAGTGAGGAAATTATAGATCCATCGACCAACTTTTCCTGTTATTCCTTTAGCGCGCATTTTGTGCGCTATTACGCCATGGTCACACTTGTCGAAGGCTTTTGCAAAGTCTGTATATATTACATCTGCATTCTTTTTTGTCTTCTAGTGCATTTAGGACCTTGTCGTAGTGATCCAGTAGTTGAGACAGACAGGAGCGACCTGTTCTAAACCATGTTGCCCTGGGTTGTGTAACTGATGGGTTTCTAGATGGGTGGTGATCTTGCTTCTTAGGACCCTTTCAAAGATTTTTATGATATGGGATGTTAGTGCTATTGGTCTGTAGTTCTTTGCTGTTGCTTTACTGCCCCCTTTGTGGAGTGGGGCTATGTCTGTTGTTTTTAGTAACTGAGGGACGACCCCCGTGTCCATGCTCCCTCTCCATAGGATGGAAAAGGCTCGTGATAGGGGCTTCTTGCAGTTCTTGATGAACACAGAGTTCCATGAGTCTGGCCCTGGGGCAGAGTGCATGGGCATGTCATTTATCGCCTGTTCGAAGTCATTTGGCGTCAGGATAACATCGGATAGGCTTGTGTTAATCAAATTTTGTGGCTCTCTCATAAAAAATTCATTTTGATCTTCGACTCTCAGTCTGGTTAGCGGCTTGCTAAAAACTGAGTCATATTGGGACTTGAGTAGCTCACTCATTTCCTTGCTGTCATCTGTGTAGGACCCATCTTGTTTAAGTAGGGGCCCAATACTGGACGTTGTTCTCGATTTTGATTTGGCATAGGAGAAGAAATACTTTGGGTTTCTTTCGATTTCATTTATGGCTTTTAGTTCTTCCCGCGATTCCTGACTCCTAAAGGATTCTTTTAGCTTAAGTTCGATGCTTGCTATTTCTCTGACCAGTGTCTCCCTGCGCATTTCTGATATATTGACCTCTTTTAGCCGCTCTGTTATTCTTTTCCGTCGCCTGTAAAGGGAGCGCCTGTCTCTTTCTATTTTACATCTACTCCTCCTTTTTCTTAGAGGAATAAGCCTTGTGCATACATCGAGTGCCACCGAGTTAATCTGTTCTAGGCATAAGTTTGGGTCTGTGTTGCTTAGTATATCTTCCCAGCTTATATCGGTTAGGACTTGGTTTACTTGGTCCCACTTTATGTTTTTGTTATTGAAGTTGAATTTGGTGAATGCTCCCTCGTGACTAGTCTCATTTTGTCGGTCTGAGGCTCCACGCATACATGTCTGAACCTCAATTATGTTGTGATCTGAGTATATTGTTTTTGATATGGTGACATTTCTTATCAGATCATCATTGTTAGTGAAGATGAGGTCTAGTGTATTCTCCAGTCTAGTAGGCTCTATTATTTGCTGGTTTAAATTGAATTTTGTGCAGAGATTTAAAAGCTCGTGTGAGTGTGAGTTTTCATCAGAGCTGCCTCCTGGTGTTATTACTGCAACAATATTATTTGCTATATTCCTCCATTTTAGGTGCCTTAAGTTGAAATCCCCCAGGAGCAAGATGTTGGGTGCAGGAGCTGGAAGATTTTCCAGACAGTGGTCAATTTTTAACAGCTGTTCCTGGAATTGCTGGGATGTTGCATCCGGAGGCTTGTAGACTACCACAATGACTAGGTTTTGGTTCTCGACCTTTACTGCTAAAACTTCCACTACGTCATTTGAGGCATTAAGCAGTTCTGTGCAAACAAGTGACTCTGCAATGTACAGGCCAACCCCCCCCCTTTTGCCTGTTCACTCTGTCACATCTGTATAGGTTGTAACCTGGGATCCATATTTCGTTGTCCAAGTGATCCTTTATGTGGGTCTCAGTGAAAGCCGCGAACATTGCCTTTGCCTCTGCAAGCAGTCCACGGATGAAAGGTATTTTGTTGTTTATTGCTGGCTTTAGACCCTGTATATTTGCAAAGAAGAATGTTATCGGACTGGTGGTATTGTTGGTACTGGGGGGGGATTTTTTTTCCGGCATTAGTATCTGTATCTGTTGGTTTGGAGTGGAGGCCATCGACTGTGGTTCCACTCCAGGAAGGAGTATATAAGGAAGGAGTATATAAGGAAGAAGTATATATGGAAGGAGTATATATGGAAGTATATATGGAAGGAGTATATAAGGAAGGAGTATATATGGAAGGAATATATAAGGAAGGAATATATATGGAAAGGGTATATAAGGAAGTAGTATATATGGAAAGAGTATATAAGGAAGAATTATATATTGAAGGAGTATATAAGGAAGGAGTATATAAGGAAGGAATATATAAGGAAGGAGTATAAAAGGAAGGATTATATAGTAAAGGAGTATATAAGAAGTGTGATATAGTGTGTGTGTGTCAGTAGCCATGATGATAGTGTCAAGTGTGGTTGTTGTCTCCTTCCTCCTGGTCATCACTGTGGCACAAGACACTCCTACTCCTCTCGTAATATGGCATGGCATGGGTAAGATAAAGCTGGAGAACATGTATACTTCTACTTGCAACATGTATATTAAGGCAAATTTCATGGTTAAGGACGTTTCGCCACGGGGGACTTGAAGCCACTCTTGGTGAAACGTTTCCTCAGTAATTGATATGTTTCTTCATATACTCCAGTAAGATATACTGATTGGGCTTATGCTGGCTTTTTTATTATGAATTTTGAGCAAAATGCTTATTTTTATTTGGGGGGGACAAAAGTTATTAACAACTACTCTGACAATAGTTTAACTTCATTATATATAACTTACGTACATTATGGAATAAGCATTTATTATGCAAATTTTTATTTTAAGAATTATTAACAAAAGCTGGTTAGGCTTGGAAGGTTAGGTATAGTTAAGTAACTTTCAGGCTGTGTAATAATGATAATTTTATTTTTAGAAAGTACAATATACAGTATGCACTGTTAGTGTAATTTGTACAAGACAAATACTTCTTCCATAATATTCATAGGTTATATGTATACACTGAAAAAGTGTCATCTAATATTAGACCGATTTTCACTGCATAGTTGTCGGTAACTTTTGCTTTTTTTTCTTGTTACTCTTTGAGAAGGGTGGTGTTTTGTTGCTGGCAAAGGGATCTTGGTCCAAGGAATTGAAGGTATCTTTCCCTAGATGGGCCGCAGAAAACAATGTGAAGTTCAATGATGAGAAATTTCAATTTCTCCGGCATGGAAAACGTGAGGAAATTAAAACTATATCGGAGTATAAAACAAATTCCAACCACACAGTAGAACAAAAAACTAATGTAAAAGACCTGGGAGTGATCATGTCAGATCTCACCTTCAAAAACCACAAAATTGTATCAATCGCATCTGCTAGAAAAATGACAGGATGGATAATGAGAACCTTCAAAACTAGGGATGCCAAGCCCATGATGACATTCTTCAGGTCACTTGTTCTATCTAGGCTGGAATATTGTTGCACACTAACAGCACCTTTCAAGGCAGGTGAAATTGCTGGCCTAGAAAATGTACCGAGATCCTTCACGGCACGTGTAACTGCGATAAAACACCTCATTTGCTGGGAACGCTTGAAGTTCCTCAACCTGTACTCCCTAGAACGCAGGCGGGAGAGATACATGATTATATACACTTGGAAAATCGTATAGGGATTAGTACCAAACTTGCACACGAAAATCACTCCCTATGAAAGCAAAAGACTTGGCAGAGAATGCAACATCCCCCCAATGAAAAGCAGAGGCGCCACTAGCACAATAAGAGACGACACAATAAGTGTCAGGGGCCCAAGACTGTTCAACTGCCTCCCAGCATACATAAGGGGGATTACCAATAGATACCTGGCTGTCTTCAAGAAGGCACTGGACAGGCACCTAAAGGCAGTACCTGACCAGCCGGGCTGTGGTTCATACGTCGGGTTGCGTGCGGTCAAGAGTAACAGCCTGATTGATCAGGCCGTGATCCACCATGAGACCTGGTCACAGACCGGGCCGCAGGGGTCATCCCTCTCCAGGGTCATACCCTCTCCAGGTATACCCCAAGTATAGATCTAACCTCATCATCTCCCATGACCCTGTATGACAGGCCTTTGTTACCTCTCCATCCTATGTTACTTAAACTCAATTTATGGAAGTTCAAGGACCCCAATGGAAATAAATCACTGACTTTTTTTTGGGTTATCCTAGGTAATCTACATATGCTGCTATGTATGATAATTTATGTAACTATTTGTGTGTACCTGTACCTCAGTAAACTTTTTACATGATACCCAGTGATGACTCCCCAGCTCCAGGTACAAACTTAACCTCTGAGCAAGTTAATGCATGCAGTGTGAGTTGCAATGAATGGTAAACACAAGAGGTAATTTACACTTGTCAGTAAGTTCATTTAGGCACAGGTATACACAAGTACAGTTATCATACATATAGTAGATTACCAAGGATAACCCAAAAAAAACAGTCAGACCAAGTGACTTACTGTATTTTCTGGCATATAAGGCATGCTTTTTTTCATTCAAAAAGTCTTGGAAAATCACCCTACACCTTATATGCTCAAGGTCAGGGTCAAGGGTAGGCTTTGAGTTACATGTTAGCATAAAGTAAGAGGGTAATTAGCCCTAGAATATGATTACTGATTTACCATTATGATACTTATGTTGTGCGCCTTATATGCCGGAAAATACAGTATGTATTGTAATTGTAGTCACATAATTTGTACAGCAATACTATTCTATGTGTACTTGTACCTAAATACACTTGCTTTCCTGATCTCTGCAGCCATGGCTGCTCTAGCATATGAAGCTCCAGCCAGCATAGCATTGCTGACACTAATTCTTCATCACGAAAAGTAGTTCGCTTTCAGAGGGGTTTTATTTTATATTGGCAGTGTACAAATGTTAATAATCTATACTTATCTTTCAACTAGTTTTTTTTTTTGTGACATGACCATTTTCTCCAAGACTAGATACACTGGATGCATTGTAATGAAAATGTTTTATTGTGTAGTATAACAGGCATCATAGTGAGTCCTTTATGTTTTGGCATTCGCTGGAGTAATGTATTACCTTTGGATTAGCTGATTTACTATAAAATATGCCTATTTTGATTTTGTGTATCAGTTATTGTTATTAACATTAATTAGCTGAAAAAGAATGGCTAACATTTTTTATTATGTTATTTTCTTTGCCTTTTTTCATTTTTTTATAGGTATTTTATGGATAGACAAACTTTTAAACATATATTGTTCCTTATTTTTCAGGTGACACATGTTGTTTCTCCTTTAGCATGGGACGTATCAAGACGTTGGTGGAAGAGCGCATCCCTGGCATTTATGTGCAGTCAATCATGATTGGCAATAATATCATTGCTGTAAGTTGAGAATAAAAGTATGAGATATGGTAAATTTATAAGTATTTTTGTTGCCAGTGAGTCATTTCCCTTTTATCATTCCTTCCAGAGGAAGGTTTTTCTTGATGAATGATTAATGATAAACTTTAATTCTGCAAAATATGGATTACAATTGATTCAGAGAAGGTGATATAGTTGACATACTTTATAGAAAGCCCCTGGTTATGCTGGTAAAGGACTCTTGATCCCAGGAATTGAAAGTACCCATTTCTTTCTTGGGTCAAACCTAAATAATCCTAGGCACTGTATGACCCCTATAGGTTTAGTGCTTTCTGTTGAATTTAATATAATAATGATGATCATAATATCTTCATCAAGAAAGCTCCAGCATAATCTTATCCCTAACATGCTGCCAGTAGTTAGTTGTTCATTGATCAGGGCTCCTTCACAACCTTCTGCTAGCCATACTACAGTTATTACCATGTTCTAGACTACCAGCTAACCTGGCACAACCTTGTGCAGGTGAGTCCATTATTATTGTACTTACTACAAGATGACTTGGCACAGCCTTATGCTATGGAGGCTGTCATTATTGTGCTATAGACTCTACAAAAGTTTGGCACAGCCTTTTATGTATGATGCTGTTATTATCCAGCCCTAATACATATGTATTCATTATTCAATTTTCAGGGTTTGTCTACAATAAACCATTTAAATTTAATCCCCTCAGGGGAAGTTCCTTGGTGCCAGTGAGGCATTCTTGATCCAAGAAACTGGACCTTCTGTCTTCTTCATTGGATCAAACCTAATGCCTTCTATTCTCCAGGCACTTTTTTTTTTTTCTCTCTCTTATTGGTTGGATATCAGAGTGGCCTCTTCTCTTATTCAGCCATTTTCACATCTGTCAGTATATCTTGTTTCCTGAATTATTGTTTGAACAGACTTAACAGCTCAAATAATCCTCTGAACTGCAGCATTCCTACCCATCCTTCAAAGGGCAGATGAGAAATTGCAATCATTAATTTTATATTTTTTGTTAATTTACTGTATAGTTTATTGATATGCATTTGTACCTTGCTGCAAGATACAGCATTTACAATTTTTTGATCATAATCCTTTATGAATTTCTTCTTTCTTTCAACGCACCGGCCATATATATATAATTATGAATATGAAGGCTTTCTTTGTGACAGTTTCCTTAATCTTAGCAAACCATTTAGTATGTAATTTTTCTTTTAGGATGAAGAGCATAGTTATTTTGGGAATGTAAATGAGCAAGTGGATGAGGTATGCAAGAAACTGGCCAATGATACACAGCTTCAAGGTGGATACCATGCTATGGGATTTTCACAAGGTGGCCAGTTCCTGTGAGTTGTATAAAATTTTGTCTTATTTTTAATACTACTTGATAACAGTAATAACAGATTATTATTGAGGGTGTAAACAAATCTTTGCTCTATAAATTTATAGTAAATATTTCATAGTGAAATGCAAAATACAGTACAGTAGTAGTTTGATTAACATTGCATTTGGTGCAAGTTTGATACTGGGTGTTTGATTATTATCTATAATGCAAATAACCTCTCATAAGGACTCAAGTAGTGAGTGCCTTGTCTATGGGCTCTTGTGTGTGAATGCACTGACATGTGTGTGAATGCATCAACATGTGTGTGAATGCATTGACATTTTCCTGAGCAAAATCAAGAGAATTGTCCACTGGGTTCTGATACCTTCCTTTCTTGAGATGCTGGATCACTTTAACATGGTGGGGTTTGTGGTTTGTCTGGAGGTAGGGGGTCCCTCTCTTCCTGCAGAGTGCTTATATGATTAAAAACCCAGCATCTCTCTTTCCATAAGTAGTGGGGATATTTCCCCTTTGTCTAAATTTGCTAATATTCCTAGTCAATGACATGGAATGTTTTATGGTCATAGATTGCAGAATGTGGGAGAAAAATATTTTGAATAGTTATACTTGCCTTCTGATTATGATTTATGTAATATGAGAAGTTATTGATCATAACAGCAGCAAGTTGGTATTGATAATGTAGCCATGATGATGATCTACAAGGACCCCAATGGAAATACAAGTCACTTTGTCTGACATATTTGGGTTATCCTAGGTAATCTACACATGCTGTGTATAATAATTTATGTAACTGTATTTATGTGTACCTGTACCTAAAGAAATTTACTAACGATAGAAATAGCATATGTTTAAAGTGCTGAATAACCAGTTGGTTCTAGTCCTTTATAAATAAAATTGAAAAACTGAAACTGTACCTTCCTCTAATAACGTCATTCGTATATTGAAAAGCTTCCTACTGCCACATAGTTAATTTCCTGATCAGATGCCTACTCTTGACTTACAAATGTGAAACTACAACTGAGCTGAAAGAAATATACAGAGATGTAATGGACACTGTCCATAAGTTTATACAAAATAAATGGAATAACTCTAAATCTAAAATGAAGAAACCAAGTACAAGATAAGAATAATGAAAGTAATCAGGTTGTAATTTGAAAGGGTTGCTAGTGAAACAAGGAAATTATTTGTAGATGAATGGTTCAGAGAACCGACATGTTGATAAATTAGACACATGTGCAACTCTTGGGTATCTTTATTGAGGATACCCAAGAGTTGCACATGTGTCTAATTTATCAAGGAAATTATTGACTGAAACTGTAATTAAATACCACTTTTGCAGTTTTGAATGGGTAAGAATTAGGGGAATAAATTTGAAGATTTTTATGGGTAAAACTCCTTATTGTAAACAAAATTATTTTTTTTAGCACAATGTAACCAAAATACTTGTGAAACAAACCATGAGAACTATACGAGTGCACTATAGCAGAGCTTTTCTTAATCTGTGTAGCCGAGCAGTTGCAGAACGCTGTCCTGAACCAGCCGTACGTAACCTTATCACATTTGGTAGCCAACATCAAGGTGTGTTTGGCCTCCCTTACTGTTCTTCGGATGACCTACTCTGTGAGGAAGTACGACGCTTGCTCAACATGGGAGCTTATATTGAGTAATAAAATCCTAGATTGAAGCTTATGGTTTGGGCTAAGGTTGAGGAAGTTTGCAGTTACCTATTTGTAGGTATAGGAGTGGAGCTATACTTGTGGTGTCCTGTCTTCAGTAATTTTTTTGCCATGTTAACAGGGACAGCTAAAATTGGCAAAAAGAAAAATTTGATGCTTTTATTGAATTACAAAACATTTGAAATTTTGTTATCTGTGTAGATAGATGTTCCCAAACTGGTGAGTAATACATGGTGTAATGTTCATTTTTATTTACCATTGTATAAGCTCAACCTTTTTAAGAATTTTAATCATTTGAACTAAGTTTGGCTTGTGTGCTCTTGCTTTTAGTCTAGACTGGAAGGAATATATGTTTAGCTTTTTTGTATCATGTGTTTGAGGTCTCAATTATAGTGTTATTGTGCTCTTAATGGGGTAGTGATGGTGCTAGTCATTGTGTGCAGGCGTGCAGTGGCAGAGCGCTGTCCAGATCCCCCCATGAAGAATTTAATAAGTTTTGGAGGACAACATCAGGGTATATTTGGCTTGCCAACATGTCCTGAGAACCCAGAGAAGTCCCGGACTTGTGAATACATTCGCAAGGTGCTGAATTATGGATCTTATTTACAGTAAGTGAAAATGTATCAATGTACCACAAATAAAACAGGGTGGCATGCACATCTCTTCAACTTCTTTGCTCTATCCTAGAAAGTAAAAGCTCAGGGTCTCATCTAGGAATTAAATACAATACAATACATCTCTTAACTTAACAATGTGTGATACTGTATATATGTATCACTATCTTTGGAAAAGAAAAGGTGAGAAGAAATCTCATCTTGTATAATTTACAACACATCCATGTGATACAAGAGATATTGGTAGAGGAAAAAGATGTTGGCAAGTGTGCAGGATAGGATGTAATACTAGGTAGTAATGCAGAGGTTAAGATTCCAGTAGTGTATTCTATAATCTAGTTAAATGTGCCTTCTCATTTGAAATAATGAGTATTCAGTGTTGTCTGGCTTTTCAATGGTTGAAATATATTATCTAAATATGTTTTTCTTTCATTCTTTCTCATTCTCTCATTCTCTATCCCTCTCTTCCTCTCCCTCTCCTTTCTTGCTTGCACTTTCACATTTTTTCTCTCTTGCTCTTTTTCTCTATTTCTCTGTGCCATTTTTTAAATCCAGGAAAATAAATCTGCATATTCATACTTTTTTTTCTGTTTGTATAAATATGACATCTCGAGTAGTTTGGGGGCTTTGTGATAAATACTACAGGGATATATAGATTTAAACGTGTGGAAGAAAGATTGTTGTTGGGATGGGTTGGTGAAGCTTAATACCAGTAAAGTAGTACAGTATATCCTTGGTGCTTGAAGTCATCTCTTTAGAAAGATTAATAACATTTACTCTGAGAAATTATAGAGATACTGACGTAAAAGATCTAAAAGGTATGGTTTAATATTAACTAAGATTGCTTTGTATACTCTCACTGTCAGAAATGAAGTACTGTACAGTATAATATTAATACTTGTAAAAAGCATACTCTGGTAGCCAGATCAGCCAAAAGCTTTAATAATTTTTTGTTTTTTAGTTCATTCTTGTATTTAATAAAGTTAAAATTTATTTTGGCATATAGGTAGAGAACTACATACCAAGGCATTAATAAAAATAACGTTTTTCATAGCTGGATCCAAACCTCGCTCGTGCAGGCCCAGTTTTGGCACGACCCTCTTCACGATGATGAATACCGTAACAAATCCATTTTCTTGGCTGACATCAACAATGAGAGGGTGAGCTCAAGTTTGTTGTCTATGCAAATTAGTTTTTCTTTTTATTTTGAATGACAAATTTTTTCTGTATTACCAGTTTTGTTGAGGGATAAGTTTTATGCAAGAAAGTTTGACTTTGTCCACTTAACTCTTCACAAACCTCAGATACTGAAAGTTATTTTCAAAAGATATTTACAATATTATTGTTCTGTATGAGTTTTTATTAATGTTATCTTATAGTGAAATGCCATTTCGTAAGAGTTCATCCTGCCAGATACCACATTGTGCTTGGCTTTAAATTTTTCATTGTGTACTCTTATTAATGTTTAGGTATTGAATGAGTATTACCGTGACAACCTGAAGAAACTGGACAACTTTGTGATGGTGAAATTCCTAGCTGACACTATGGTGGTACCAGTGGAGAGTGAGTGGTTTGGCTTCTACACTCCAGGCCAAGATGAACAAGTCTTACCATTGCAACAAACTCAACTGTATTTGGAGGTTAGATTACACGTGTTATCATGATGTGCTATTTGGTGACTTAAAATATTTCCGTTATTGCTGAACATTTTGCCTTCATATTTTAGAGGTACTGTAAATGTACAAATTGCATAATTGTTCCTGGAGATAAAATTTAAATGTACCGTGGTACCTCGGGTTATGAACTTAATTCGTTCCAGAAGGCTGTTAGAGTGCCAGTACCGAATGAATTTGTTCCAATATGGAATAATTAAATTAGATTAGTCCGTTTCAGATCCCCAAAAATACACTTAAATAATTGTTTGAGTTGGGAACTGTTCATATTCCATGGTACCACTGTATTTTAAAGTATTCAGTGATTATTTAATTAGTGTATTTTAAAACACTGTACTATGATTATTAAATTGTTTATAACATAACGTATGCAAGATTATAGATGGGTTAATTTATGCATATACTGTTTGGAATAGTCATGTAGTGTTTTAATAGTGTGTAAAGATAGTGTATGCTAATTTATTTGTTTTTTTTTATTTTAATATAGTAGGGCCCCACTTTTCGGCGTTTTACCTTATGGCATTCCACTAATACGGCGATCTCAAATTATGACCAAAACTTTCTATACAGCAAGTGGTTTTTCAAATATGGCAAGGGCCACCCAGTTTGTTTACATTCTCCATGAGCACCTCTCTCTATTATGTAATACGTACATGTAATCACTCTGGGCACATTAAATGTCTTATTTTACATTAATATAGACATTTTCATTAATCCATCTATTATATTTTCTTCAAAATTATATAAGAAACATGTTGCATAACATATAAACATTTTATGTTTATTTACTAAGGAGGTGTGGTAGCCGGGCGGAGGGAAAACATTACGTCACTCCCCTTAATACATAACACTTTTGTTTACAATTCTCGGCATGAATTATTCATTACTTCTCCATTTGTTTATGATGACATCTACAGGTAGTTGTTAGAAATGATTAAACACGGTGAATATGGTATGTTGATGGTAATAATATGGCTCTGGGCCACACTAAATATCGTGTAGTTATGTAGGTAGGTAGCCCAGGTGGACTGCATACCTACATTATTATTATAGCTGATAATTATATGTATGTGTACCTGTACCTAAGTAAACTTACACACTGTGTTGGCATGCAGGTAAACATTAAAATCACTAAGAGCATCTTTTTAGTCTTGAAGATACCATATTAATAATAATAACAACACAATAATAATCACTCTAAGGAGCATTAAATATCGTATAAAACGTTAATATAGACATTTTGTTTAATCCATCTAAATACACCCTACAGTAGAATAAATTAACATAAATATGAAATGTGGTGGCCAGGCCAGGTGACTTGTAGGACTTGTGGTAGCCAGGCAGTTTGTAGGACTTGTGACGAAAACCAGACTCGTTCATCTGGTTTGTTTACATTATGTGTGGGTGGGGTGGGGAGGGCTGCCCTTCCTGGCTACCCATACTTCCCAACCTGACTTCACACAAATAAAACTCGCCTCTCACCCTACATTAAGACTACAAATATTTTAAGGTAATTAATGAGTATACTATATATGCATTTTATCGCTCTAGGGAGCTTAATGTCGTAGTAGATGGGAGTGGCCAGGCAGGATGCCATATCTCCCACACAACTTTCTACAAATTAATACTTTTCACCTCTCACCCTACATGCGTAGGGAGTCACTGGTCAGAGAAATAGCAAACATCGAACTTAAGCTAAAGGAATCTTATAGGAGTCAGGAATCGCGGGAAGAACTAAAAGCCATAAATGAAATTGAAAGAAACCCAAAGTACGTATTTCTTTTCCTATGCCAAATCGAAGTCGAGAACAACATCCAGTACTGGGCCCCAGCTTAAACAAGATGGGTCCTACACAGATGACAGCAAGGAAATGAGTGAGCTACTCAAGTCCCAGTATGGCTCAGTTTTTAGCAAGCCGCTAACCAGACTGAGAGTCGAAGATTGAAATGAATTTTTTATGAGAGAGCCACAGAATTTGGTTAACACAAGCCTATCTGATGTTATCCTGACGCCAAATGACTTCGAACAGGCGATAAATGACATGCCCATGCACTCTGCCCCAGGGCCAGATTCACGGAACTCCGGGTTCATCAAGAACTGCAAGAAGCCCCTATCACGAGCTTTTACCATCCTATGGAGAGGGAGCATGGACACGGGGGTCGTCCCACAGTTACTAAAAACAACAGACGTAGCCCCATTCCACAAAGGGGGCAGTAAAGCAATAGCAAAGAACTACAGACCGATAGCACTAACATCCCATATCATAAAAATCTTTGAAAGGGTCCTAAGAAGCAAGATCGCCACCTATCTAGAAACCCATCAATTACACAACCCAGGGCAACATGATTTAGAGCAGGTCGCTCCTGTCTGTCTCAACTATTGGATCACTAGGACAAGGTCCTAGATGCACTAAGACAAAAAGAATGCAGATGTAACACAGTATATACAGACTTTGCAAAAGCCTTCGACAAGTGTGACCGTGGCGTAATAGTGCACAAAATGCGTGCTAAAAGAATAACAGGAAAAGTTGGTAGATGGATCTATAATCTCACAGACAGAACACAGAGTAGTAGTCAACAGAGTAAAGTCCGAGGCGGCTACAGTGAAAAGCTCTGTTCCACAAAGCACAGTACTCGCTCCCATCTTGTTTCTAATCCTCATATCTGACATAGACAAGGATGTCAGCCACAGCACCGTGTCTTCCTTTGTAGATGACACCCGAATCTGCATGACAGTGTCTTCCATTGCAGACACTGCAAGGCTCCAGGCGGACATCAGCCAAATCTTTCAGTGGGCTGCAGAAAACAATATGAAGTTCAACGATGAGAAATTTCAATTACTCCGATATGGTAAACATGAGGAAATTAAAACTTCATCAGAGTACAAAACAAATTCCGGCCACAAAATAGAGCGAAAAACCAACGTCAAAGACCTGGGAGTGATCATGTCGGAGGATCTCACCTTTAAGGACCATAACATTGTATCAATCGCAGCTGCTAGAAAAATGACAGGATGGATAATGAGAAACTTCAAAACTAGGGATGCCAAGCCCACGATGACACTCTTCAGGTCACTTATTCTATCTAGGCTGGAATATTGCTGCACACTAGCAGCACCTTTCAAGGCAGGTGAAATTGCTGACCTAGAAAATGTACAGAGAACTTTCACAGCACGCATAACGGAGATAAAACACCTTAATTACTGGGAGCGCTTGAAGTTCCTGAACCTGTATTCCCTGGAATGCAGGCAGGAGAGATACATGATTATATACACCTGGAAAATCCTAGAGGGACTAGTACCAAACTTGCACACGAAAATTACTCACAACGAAAGAAAAAGACTTGGCAGACGATGCAACATCCCCCCAATGAAAAGCAGGGGTGCCACTATCACTAGCACGTTAAGAGACAATACAATAAGTGTCAGGGGCCCGAGACTGTTCAACTGCCTCCCAGCATACATAAGGGGGATTACCAATAGACCCCTGGCAGTCTTCTAGCTGGCACTGGACAAGCACCTAAAGTCGGTACCTGACCAGCCGGGCTGTGGCTCGTACGTTGGATTGCATGCAGCCAGCAGTAACAGCCTGGTTGATCAGGCTCTGATCCACCAGGAGGCCTGGTCACAGACCGGGCCGCGGGGGCGTTGACCCCCGGAACTCTCTCCAGGTAAACTCCAGGTAAGACCATTAAGACTACAAATATTTTAAGATAAGTACAGCGTCTACTGTATATGCATTTTATCGCTCTAGGGAGCTTTAAGCATCGTAGTATAGTATGTGTGGTTGGGGTGGCCAGGAGGGCTACCACACCTGACTTCTCAGAATAAATACTACTCACCTTTTGCCCTACATTAAGACTACAAATATTTTGAGGTAAATAATGAGTGTACTGTGTGTGTATTTTACTTTTTAATGCCTAGTTCTATTGCTAACTTAATGTATGTTAGTGTAAACTTGTTATCTGGCATTTATATGCATTTATAAATGGAAAAAATGGAGTTGTGCTTTCTGGCGAAGTCTGCTTTCCGGCAGTAGCCTGGAACCTAACCTGCCGAATAAGTGGGGCCCTACTGTAATCCGTTCTTAAGTAATAGGTCTTTTTTTGTGTATAGTCACCAAACCTCCACCCCTGCCTTATGGATAAAATATTCTTAATTTTTCTATAAATTGAGCAAGTAAATCTGCTCATTTTTGAGAGTACTTTAGAAGTTACTTCCAGGCAAAAATTAATATGTGAAGTGAATCTTGAAAAATATAAATTGCAATGAAAATGTACCAAAATTGGAGAAATATTTCCCCAAATGTGTTTTGCTTAAAAATGACCTTGAGGTGTTTTCTAGGATGGTTTTTATTGTTTTATTGGCTCTTTCTTGGTATCATTTCATAGAATGGAAGACATATCACTGAAATAGTGATGATCTTGGTTGGTTTCAGGATGAGAGGTAGCTTGAAATTTGGCTCAAATTATCAGAAATATAAGATTTTTGTTGATATTCCTGATTACGGGTAAGCCCCCCCCCCCTACACTCGTTGGTCAGTTTTATGGGTTTTTAATAGATCTGATTCAATTTTTGGGATGTCATAAACCATGACTAGTCATTCCTGGTTATATTTTATTATCCAAGAAATAAGGCAAATCATCACCACCACCATCATCCTTTTTTTTTTTTTTTGTGATCATGAATTCAAAATGGAAAACAAATGATTAATGAACAGAGGAAATGTTTTAGTGCCTGGAATATCTGTTGTTGTTTTTTTTTTATTAATTTTAAGTACAGTTGGCCAAATTACTGACTTCTGCACACTTTATAAGAAAATTCTAATAATTGAATGTATGGTTTCTTGTGTTCAGTTGATGGAATGGAAGGCATACTAGCAAAATACCTTAAAATTTGGTTTAATGGCATAATGGAATTGACTGAAAATAGGACTCGGTGGATGAAATCGCCGCTGCATAAATTGTGCCTAGACCGCTGAATTTGTGCCTGTGTAATTCTGCAAGGAGTTAATATTTTCTTGACTTATATAATAAGAATACTGTAATTATTTTACAGTTGTCATTTCCTGTTGCTCAGGAGTGAATATTTGCAGGCATTATTTAAACACAGTAACCTTTAACCTTCAACAGGACCGTTTGGGATTAAAAGAGATGGATGAGGCTGGCAAACTGCATTTTCTCACACAAGATGGTAATCACCTTCAGTTTACTGAGGAATGGTTCCTGGAGGAGATAGTTGACAAGTTTGTAACCTAAAATAAGAGGATATTTTGAAGTCCATGACTAAAATGAATCATAACAAGCATGCTTCTGTTATAGGCTGAAGTTGGAATATACTAATAAATTTTTATAAAAGCACCATTTAGTAATTATTTAGTCTTTCAAAGCATTAAATATTATTATCTTTTTGTTTTAGAATTTAAATATTAACTTTTTTTCTCATATCAAAATAAATTTTGGAGTGAGATTAATAAGTTGAGAGAGCCTAGGGAACGAATAGATTTAGCAGTTACAAACAAAAGAGGGGAGATGTTAAATGGAGGTGGAGGTACTGAGATGGTAGTAATATTTTGAGCATTTAAATGTTGTAGAAAGGGAGGCAGTAATTTCATGCATTGGTCAGGGAATAAACATTTTGTTTGGAAGAGCCAGATAAAAGTGTGGGGGGGAGGCATGAGAGGTAGCTGGGATAGAAGGGATCAAAGCAGAAATGTTGCAAGCAGGTGGGGATATAGCTTTGGAGTGGTTGGTGTATTTCTGGGTACCAACCAGTATTTATATTCCAGTAGGATACTAAGCTTCCTTTTGGCTTTTTTCTTTTTTCTCTCTGTATCCTCAGAGGTCCCATGCTCTGAAAATAATTTACATTACATTGGTTTAAAGAAAATGCATCTTTTAAGGTAATCATTTTTATTTAATTTTATTAGTTAATTTTAAAATTATGTTTTGTCTAATAGTATATCTGATATCAGCTCTATTGAAAGGAATTATAAATAGTATATCCCTTGGCATAATTAGGTTGTTACTGTTGTACTGCACTGAACTGTTATTTCAACTTAGATATTGCATGCATTACAGGTTGGTGGGTATTCTATACTTTGCTGCCTAGAACCTTTGCCAACATGAATAAATATTAATCTATGCTTAGGCTGGTGATATGTATACAGTATCTTCATGCTATGTAACAGTTACCCTGGTACAAAATAGATCTGCTGTCAGTCAGTATATTCTTCTAGGTAGTACAAATATCCCTTTGGTTTAGTACACAAGTGAATTGGCTTGGACTGATTTTCTGTTAGCAAGAAAGACTTGGTTAAAAAAATGAATATAGACTAGTAAGACCCTCTATTCCAAATGGTTTGTATAATAGATGGAGGATTAGAAATATGCAAGTGTACATGGGCATTCACTGAAACTTCTACAGAGGGGGGGGGCAACAGAGTAGGTAAGTCATCAGTATTGTGGATTTCCTGGACACAGGCCTGAACCAGGAGAAGAACCTAACCTCTCCCTCTACCCTTCTTTCCTTGCCTTTCCTCTCCAGAAAATACCCATGTTAGTGTAGTAGGCATGCCAGTGTAGGTTCTATGCATGGAATGTAAACCAAGTAGCACACCATAGCTAAAGTTCACAAACTTCTTTTAATGGTTACTGAGGTTACTATACACCTGTTTTACTGTAGTGCTCTTATTCTAATCCATGACTGCTGTCTAAAACATTTATAAATACTGCCAAAATAAATGGAAAAATTTCCTAGGAAAAGCTGGACCACATCCTGCAGGAAGTGCCAAATCAGCTAGATTATGGTGGCTATGTAGGCCTGCAGGCTATGGGCAAAAATAAGTTTAGTACATCAGGCAGCCAACAAGAAAATCTAGCCTTAGGCCTGGATGCAAGAGCAAAACTAAAACTAGTAACAGGTTGAAGGCACAGGTGTAGAAACGAACTCTAAATTCACATGAACATTCAGTCTCTTCTGCAGCTCTTATTTCTTTATTAATAAAGTACACATCAGTGTGGTTGCTTTACATTTCTCAAACATTACATGCAGTGCCAAGTCTCCTTGTATGTTGGAAAACTAAGTTTTCATGTACAGCAAAATGTGTAAGGATTGTCTGGTGTTGCTGGTATAGTTTTTTTTTTTTTAATTAGGTGCCTTACAACAGATCCTCTATCCTTTATGTAATTTTATGGCATAAGGCTGGAAGAACTTTATGAAGTCACTTAGATTACCATAGTCTTTCAGGCAACAAAAGGTTCTTCACAATTTTAGCCAGTTATTATAAGCTGAAAAGCAATGTAGTTTATTTTTATATAGTCTTTCATCTATGAATTGCATCATTAATGTTAGAAGGTAAAATATTAAGTCATTTAGGTTAAAAAAAAAAATTGCCATAGCATTAAACTGCAGTCTCAGCAGTACAAAATTCCTATTCTTCTTGCTCCTCCATAATGCTGTGGGTTACTGATATCATGGCAGACTCAGCCTCCCTAAAATATTGCAGCACAAACCATCCCGAGGTGCTTGCTTGCTACCATGCTGCCGATGAAAACTGGCACTTGCAGCTACAACTCTGACACGACACTGTTCACATGCTGCAGAAGCAACCTCGGATAATCCAACTCGAGGTGTGCAAGTTTGCCACAATGTCTGTGTTGGTTTGCAACCCGTCCTCCAGGTGGTTCACATGTTTTCCTACTTGTTACAGTGCATTTATTTCTGTATGATCTAAGCTGAGATCAGAATTAAATACAGTAATAAATATTCTAGGTTTGATAAATATTCTAATCAAACCTAGGGGAGTCAAGTCTGGTAATGGAGGCACATTGTTACCTAATAATTTGAAACATGCTGAATATCTACTATATAGGACGAGTTGCAACTTAGCTTGAAGAAGGTAATTTCACCAGCTGTCAAAGTGCTGGCTTTTGAAGACATTATTTTAGCTAATACTGAACCCAGTACAGTACATTTTTCACAATCTTGTGACATTAAATAAAATACATTACTGCCATTCTACTGTAATATAAAATATTACAATAGAATGGTGGTGAAATTAAAGAAATGGACGGCCGTTGATGTATCTGGCGTATATAAGAAGAAACTTAACTAATCATACACAGGATAAATAGGTAGATATTGAATCACTGAAGTACCTAAACATAAATCTGTTAGACATGCACAAAACAGTGCGATGTTTTTTTCAGCATGTGTAAGACTCGTAACTACTATATAATGTTAAATGAGAAAATTCTTTTATTTCATATAAACAAATTGTATGTATAAGCATAAAATATTTGAGCAGAAAGATAAAATTTACTTCAAACTACACTATTATATATTCATTGCCATTCTGAAAGTGGCATACTGTATATTGTCAGAGAATGGCAAAAAAGGGCTGTAACAATTAATGGCAAGTTGCAGTTACTGTACATCGAATACATAGTTATTCTGAAATACTGTCCTTGTACAAATATAGGTACAGTACAGCATATCTGCTTCTTTGATTGCTGAAATATACAACTAAAATACCCATACTGTTTAAATTACCTCCTGTTTCATTATACATATGCTAATATTTGTGTTTTAAGCTGGATATTTATAAAAAATATAATAAAACTGGTCTACATCAGTGATTATAATAGTATTATTTAAATACAATTTTGATACAATTTACAGTTAAGACCAAAATATATCAGTTTCATTACAATAAATATTATAATCCATAATTATCTAGCATATAAATATAAAGTGGTCAGAAATGGGAAGTGGTAAGGCAGGTTGGCAAATCTTCCATGTACACATACTGAAGAAAATGTTTGTGAAGGATAAAATATTATATCTATGACCACTTCCACAGCACTATAAAAGCAGTAGCCAGCACCATTGTGATGGCTGTGGATGAAGGAAGTCTCCTTGCTTGGGCATGACATAAGTGTTTTATTCAACATGGAGGCAAGTACTAACTTAGCTAGATGTTTCACTGTTAGAACAGGTTTATATCAATGTAATAAAGTTGGTATAATTACCGACAATATGTAAAGTAAAAGGACACAAGTGCAACTAATGTGACATTTATTGTGGCAACGTTTCGCTCTCCAGGAGCTTTATCTAGCCATTACATAGTGTAATGGCTTGATAAAGCTCCTGGAGAGCGAAACGTTGCCACAATAAATGTCACATTAGTTGCACTTGTGTCCTTTTACTTTACAGGTTTATATCAAGTGAAGTCAGGCAGTGTCATTTCCTCCTTGCTTTGACTACAATGTTTAATACTAACTTCCACAGCTATTGTTGTACTACTGTTTCATCCATCTTAAATTTATTGAGTCAGAGAGGTTAAAAGGTTTTAGTTACAACTGATGATGAAGTTTGAAATAAGAGATGCTGGGCCATTCATTTAGTTACATAAAATACATACACACTTTTTTTTTTTTTTTTTTTTTTTTTTTTTTTTAAATTTGAAGCTACTCTTCTGCTCAAAAATATTGAGCAACAACCATAACTGTATTCGAACATACAATGTGGCACTTAAAGCCTCTGAATCTATTTAACATATTTATATGATGGTGAAAGACTCATGATCCAAAGAACTGAAGCTAACTTCTTCCTTGGACTGAATCCGATTAGACTCTGTTCCCTAGGTACTGCACGACCCCTACAGATTTAGTGCCCCTTTGAAGAATATAATAATAATAACTTAGATATTTTCTTTAATCTTTGGTTCTCACCAAAAATGCTTTTACTTCGAAAATTTCTGGTAGAGACTTTCACAGATTCTAGTACTAAAGTATAACTAAGGATGTTTACAGAACTAGTGACTAGCTTACAGAACAAATGACAGAATTACTGAGCCAATGATTAGGCTGGGAGATAAAATAGTATGGTTTACAGAATCATTAACGTGGCTCACATTACCAATTGTTGAGCATACGAAGTTGATGGACTCGGAGTCATTAGAGCTGATAACTAGGCTTAGTGCCATTGGCTTAAGTTTACAGTCAGTGACTAGCCTTGTAGAAACAATGGATAGTCTGAGAGTTAATGGGTAGGCTTACAAAATCAGTGTTTAAGCTTTTATAGTACCAATGACTAGGCTGATACTACAGAACAAAAAAAATTATGAAAACTTTTTTCTTTCTAGCCTCTTTCTTCATTGTTGAGAGGATGACTAAGCATATTCTATAATTTGAATAAAAAGTACCATTAAGTGTTTACAAGACTCAAAGGAGCACTTGAAACATGTAAATCTACATGCTTATGCTGGGAGATAGGAGTGATACACACTCAGTAATAGGAGGTAATCAGGAATGAATCAGGGGAGGGTACCTTCTTGGATACACAGCCCTTCACTAGCATCAAGGCACCCCCTTGGAGACAAAGATAAGTATGCTAATGTCAGGTACTGTACTGTATATACTTGCTGTCTCTTGAAAATAAGCTTTCAAATGCATGCACCATATGTTTAAATATATTTCACAAAAGACAATGGTATTTATATAAAATGCTGTATGTAAAAAATCCTAATAGGATTGCTCAGATTATTTCAAATTTAAATTCTAAAAGCATGTTCCTTAATGAGTGTATGGTTTAAGCACTTTTTTTAATCAGTTACATGAATCTTTTATTTTAAATATAGTATGTATCAAATCATATGTGTATGTATTTTTTTTTTTTTTAACACATTGGTCGTCTCCCACCGAGACAGGATGAACCAAAAAGAAAGAAAATCCCCAAAAAGAAAATACTTTAATCATCATTCAACACTTTCACCTCACTCGTACATAATCACTGTCTTTGCAGAGGCACTCAGATACGACAGTTTAAAAATCAATCTCCAAACTGCCAATATCCCAAACCCCTCCTTTAAAGTGCAGGCATTGTACTTCCCACTTCCAGGATTCAAGTCCGACTAACTGGATTATGCCATAAAAAATTACATGTAAATTATTAATAATTTATTTCAACCTTTCCTTAAATGCCCTGACTTTCCTCCTCTCAGTAAGCCTCACCACAAAAGTAGATTACTTCCTTGACTTTGGATCTCCTCTTTTGAATATATCTTTCACATTTCCTGTCCAAGGGCAATGTGTGGTGTAAATATTATGCAGAAAATTTGGAGTGTGGAAATTAGGAGAAGGTGTGGAGTTAATAAAAGCATTAGTCAGAGGGCAGAAGAGGGGTTGTTGAGGTGGTTTGGTCATTTAGAGAGAATGGATCAAAGTAGAATGACATGGAAAGCATATAAATCTATAGGGGAAGGAAAGAGGGGTAGGGGTCGTCCTCGAAAGGGTTGGAAAGAGGGGGTAAAGGAGGTTTTGTGGGCGAGGGGCTTGGACTTCCAGCAAGCGTGCATGAGCGTGTTAGATAGGAGTGAATGGAGACGAATGATACTTGGGACTTGACGATCTGTTGGAGAGTGAGCAGGGTAATATTTAGTGAAGGGATTCAGGGAAACCGGTTATTTTCTTATAGTCGGACTTGAGTCCTGGAAATGGGAAGTACAATGCCTGCACTTTAAAGGAGGGGTTTGGGATATTGGCAGTTTGGAGGGATATGTTGTGTATCTTTATACGTATATGCTTCTAAACTGTTGTATTCTGAGCACCTCTGCAAAAGCAGTGATAATGTGTGAGTGTGGTGAAAGTGTTGAATGATGATGAAAGTATTTTCTTTTTGGGGATTTTCTTTCTTTTTTGGGTCACCCTGCCTCGGTGGGAGACGACCAACTTGTTGAAAAAAAAAAAAAAAAAAATTTCCCTAGTAATCTCCACTACCCCTGCTAAACCTACCTATGGCACATTCCTCTCCCACACTAACTCTCTGACTTCTGCATTTTCCTTCTTTAGCACAATCCCACCCTGCAGCACTGTATGATCCTTTTGGGTTTAGCACTTAGTTTAATTATTATTATTCACATTTTCCTAGCATCAGCACTCTTTCATCATGCAGCACTATGGACTTAGCACTCTCAAGAGATGTTCCTTGATGACAGTGAGGGGCTCTTGATGAAGGAATTGGACCTGTCCTTCCCTGCCTTGAAATGAACCGATGACCTTCCATGTCCCCAAGTGCTGTATGACCCCCTACAGGTTTACCCCTTAATGTAATAATAATACAGTACACTACATGTAAATTTCTTAACAGATTTAATGGTATTTTTGTAGGGTATAAACCAGTGATGACTGTACTATAGTATCATTTTTATGATGCTACAGCCTGAGAAGAGAAAAAATACCTGTAGTGGAGTTAGGAAGTGTCAATCACTGTGAATTTCTGACAGATTATTATAAAATTATAAAGGCAGTTACTCTTTGAACAGAAACTTCAAAGTTAATACAGTATTTTCATATAAAGTACATGACTATGTACAGTACTTGTACTTGAGTTTAAATTTGATTATGTTAAGTGGCAGACATTACACAGATGAATAATTGGTTGAAGTACTGAATGATGAAGTGGAGGAAGAAGAATTGAGCCATGAAAATGAGGAGGAAGACGAGGAGGAGGATGAAGATTTGTGCCAAGCATGGTTTTTGTGACGGTGCTTAACAGAAGAGGTCGGGGAAGTGAACCGAAGTAGTTCAGCCAAAAAACGTCTTGGGCTCGAGACTCTACCTTGTGATGGTTGCTCTTGAGCATCACAGTCTTGCTGTGCATCCTTTAGCTTTTCACTGATTGACGAGTATGGCTGAGGGTGTTGCAGTGTCACAAGAGATGAACTGAAATCATGACTATCACTTCTGTCACGGGACTTTATTAGCCAATCATCGTCCAGGTACTTGAATACTTCCTTAGCAGGATAACGAGACCATCCATGAGGTTCAAGGAGACGACGCAGAAGACGTAGAAGACGAACTGTAAATCTTTTGAAGGCCCTCGGTACTCTGATGGATTTAACCCGCTGCCAGTTCCGGAAGGCAGCATAGTCAGGGTCAGAAGCATCTGTAGTGGCCCAGGGTTTGTTTCCCGTTAAGCAATGAATGATGAGAATGCCCAAAGCCCATGAATCAAGTGAAGTTCCAGTATAATAACCCTCAGTACCCTCCCCACGACTCAATTCTGGTGGAGTGTATGATCCAGCAAAATGCCGACGCCGCATAAATGTTCCACCCCGACACGTAGAGCCGAAGTCGGTGACCTTGACAAGTGAAAGATTAGGTCTGAAGATGAGAATGTTATCAGGGGTGATGCTGCCATGCACTAGCTGGAACCCATGGAGATAGGTGAGCGCACTGGCTACCTGCTCAGCCACCCAGCGAGTTTGTACCTGAAAGAAATAATTATTAAAACATAAGGTACTTTGTTAATATGCAAAGCTTTCCTCGCAAGACATCACCCACCTGGTCATGAAATCTGACAATATATAGGCAGTGAGAATTCAAGGAAGATGCCTCAATGTTAGTGAATGACTTTTAGAAAATTTGGTACATTTCCCAGTTAAAGTCTAGAATATGAAGGATTATTGTATATTTGGTACAGAAATTCCCCTCAAGGGAGGTTCCTTGACACTGGTGAGGAGCTCTTGATCTAGGGAATTGCATTTGTGCTCCAGTTCCCTGAATTGAACCTGAATGCCTTCCATCTCCCCCACAGACTGTATAATCCCTAAGGGTTTAGTGCTCCCCAATGATTATAATAATAATGGTACAGAAATTATTAAGAGTGACTGAGTGAAATATGACTGATTATTATGGATGCATTTCTAGGGCCTAATTTATTTAGACAATTAAAATATCTTCAGTTTCATCCTTATTACTGGTCATTTATCATTTTACTTATGTGTCCCTATAACAGTGCAATAAAGTTATCATAAATCATTGTCATGAAAATTCAAGTTAATTCTTGTTGCTGTCTGGCAACAGGAAGTCATGTGGTCAGATGGCTAAAAGGCTTTTCATTTGCAAATAAAATTAATGACATCATCAGGATGTTTATCATGTAGCCAGTCAGCTTTAAGTAATTTTTCTGAGATAAAATGTAATAGCAGATTCAGCCTATTAATGTCACATTTAGAATAATAATGTCAGTTAGATTTAAATTCTTTATTTCTAATCACTGCATTTACAAAATACAGTATACAATAATCAGAGTCCATATGATGCACAACATTTTGACAAATTTTGAAATAGTGTGGCAAAACTAGATGTAATTGTAGAATAATAAATATTTTAAATGTTGATGGCGAGTTCCTTGGCTGGTGCTCAAGGCACTGAGAGAAGAAGAACAGGGTTGCTCCCATGTCAAATACAATGTGCAATTGCTTAAGAATGGATCTGCTAACTGGATAGTCTGTGCAGGACAGAAAAATGTCATCTCTATAGCATATGATGCAACTAAAGCATCTGCAACAATATTTTGTAAAATATACAGTGGACCCCCGCATAACGATTACCTCCGAATGCGACCAATTATGTAAGTGTATTTATGTAAGTGCGTTTGTACGTGTATGTTTGGGGGTCTGAAATGGACTAATCTACTTCACAATATTCCTTATGGGAACAAATTCGGTCAGTACTGGCACCTGAACATACTTCTGGAGTGAAAAAATATCGTTAACCGGGGGTCCACTGTATCTTGTATTTAATGACATTTAAAGTTTCTTGTGCTGGACAATATGTGGACCTTGCTACATTAGCAAATACTGTATTTATCAGGAACTTGCCATCTACAAGTCCAGCAAATATCAATTGAGCATCCTGTCTGCTTCCAAGTATAGTACTACTGTATTTCAAAAGCTTTCAGTGTTCACTGGGTACACAAATAACTCACACGTAGGAGAGAGGAGCTTACGATGACATTCCAGTCCAATTTGGACCATTTACAGTCATACAATGTGACTTTGTAAATGGTCCAAGTCGGACCAAAACGTCGTCGTAAGCCCCTCTCTCGTATGTGCAGGTTATTTGTGTATTGTTCCAGTCACAGTACTGTGCCTTTTTGCTCTTCACTGGGTATTATCTATGTTTGTTTATTAAGCACGACAAGCTGGCACTGGACAAGCACCTAAAGTCGGTTCCTGACCAGCCGGGCTGTGGCTCGTACGTTGGTTTGCGTGCAGCCAGCAGCAACAGCCTCGTTGATCAGGCTCTGATCCACCAGGAGGCCTGCTCACAGACCGGGCCGCGGGGGCGTTGACCCCCGGAACTCTCTCCAGGTAAACTCCAGTGTGAGGAAATAACTGACGTGCATCACCACCATACATTATGTGAGTGATTTATGTGGCATCTTTAAGATTTTTCTAAATTCATGTAACTTCTCTAAATATTGTGTGTAGACAGAATTTAACCGTATTTACTGTCTTCCCACATCCAGTCCACAAAATAGAATTTTTTGTACATTATGTACATTTAGTAATAACCTAGAGACACTATTAGTGGTAGCACATGTAATTAGTTAATAGATCATATTCAGTGTGGGGAATCCTAATTATAGGTGTTATCAAAGGAAGGAAATGTAAGCAACGTCATGCCCCTTGAAAGTTTAACCTGATGGGTCCTATATCTACAGGTGAAACTGATACCATGAAATGCAAATTTTCTTATATAAATTGTACAAGATTGCCCTGTAATTCCCTACAAGGGTCTTGATCTGGAAAGTTGTGGCTACCTTCCTCTTCCTTGAATCAAACTTCATTTTCTATTTCCCAGGTCCTGTAAAATCCCTATAAACTTGGTTCTGCATAAATATTCAGTAATAACAATTTAGGCAATGAACTGTCAATACCATTAGGCTTTGTTGCATTGATCAGTAATTAGCGGAATTAAGTTCTGTAATTGATTTGGTGTCTGTACTATACTTAATAGATCAACATAGTACTGCACATAAATTACCTCATCAATGGATCTGGAGCTCAGATGAGACCCAAGATCACCATATGGTGCATACTCCATGGGGAAGACAATATAAAGATCTGTCTGGAAGAGTCGAGCAGTGGCAGATGTCAGATTAGGATGGTCAAGGTGTGAAGCATAATGGTACTCGCGCTGAACGTCTCTCCTCCTGCACATGTCACGACACACTGCCTTCAATACCACCTCCATCCCTGTCACTCGCGTAGCTGCTAGATATATCTGTCAAGGGTGGCTTTATCAATAGCTTATAAAATTTCACAGCACGATTTCAAGACAATGAATACCATATAAAGAATTTGCTGCTACAACTGATGTAAATTTGTAAACCAGAGGTGCACCGAAACTGTAAACTATGGAAGTGAATGATCCCTTCAAGGGAGGTTTCATGATGCTGGCATGGGGCTCTTGATCTCAGGAATTGGACTTGTCCTCCCCTTCTGTGAAATTAGCCTATGCCGCCTTCTCCTAGGTGCTGCATGACTATTATGGGTTTAACATTTTCCCCTAAATATAATAATAATAATAATTGCAACAGATGAGATTATTATTTAATACAAGTTGGCCATCACTTATCTAGCAATCAGTAATCCAGCACTAATTTCAGCATAATTTCAAATTTCGTGGGTCGCCACACCAACCTGCTGCTCCTGTTTGGTAGTGCTATTTGCTGCATAAGTCATCCCAATTTGTTTTTCTCCATTTATTGTTGTAACCTGCTCACTTTTAGCCCTAGTCATGGTTCCAACGAATAAAAGAAATGCTTCTCATTGTGTAAAGCACATACACTATGCATTTCCATAAAAGATAAGGTGACTGTGAAGCCACTATCAGTCGCCACAAGCTCAGCTCACTAAGATAAGCTGTGACCAGTAAATTTGGGTCTATATATGAGATAATAGGTCTGTGTGGTAAGTGTGCACTCTATAAAAAAAATCCTTCAACACCCATTGTATAATGAGAAAAAACTGCGACCGTGTAAAACAGCGACTTTGCGGTGTATTTTTGCATGGTTTTTATAGTTGTCTTCTCGTTTTGTTGGCCTCATTTGATAGAATGGAAGATATATTACAGAAATAGACATGATTTTGACTGGCTTCACGATGGAAAGTACCTTGAAACTGAACTAAAAGTTGGGGAATGTTTGATTTTTGCCAATGTTCAAGAGTAAACAAATGATGTCGCCGTCAATATGTGTCCAACTGACCAGTCTAATACGCAGTCACAAATGGGTGGACATTAGTTATACAATTATTACAATAATGCAGTAGAATGCATAACAGTAAATCTTCTATTTTTCATGTGAATAAAAATTCAAAATGGAAAGTAAGCGTAATATAAGAGGGGCATGGAGAAGTGACTAATGAACAGAGAAAATGTTATTTTAGTGCCAGGAATGTCTGCAATGTTTACTCCAGATCATATTTTGAAATTGACATCTCTTGAAACTTGTGTGAAATTGGCCAAATTACTGATTTCTGACCACTATTGGTTAGTCGAAATAGGCAAATGGGCAGTTTCTTGTACTCAATTGACAGAATAGAAGAAATACTAGAGAAATAGCTATGAGTTTGGTAGACTGGGACAATGGAATGGGGCAAAAATAGGGAGTAAAGTGAGCGAAATCGCAGATGCGTAAATATCGCCATTGGGTTAAGTGTATTCTAACCTAACCACTCTGTAATCCGGCAAAATCACTAATCCAGCATCCTACAGGTCCCGATGATTCCAGATTAGTGATGGTCAACGTGTAATAATAATAATTATTGCATTTATGGATTTAGAAAATGCATATGATAAGTGGCTAGGGGAAGCAATGTGACAAATGTTACAAGTGTATGGAATAGGTAGTAAGTTACTAAATGCTGTAGAGTTTTTATGAGGATAGTGAGGCTCAGATTTAGGGTGTGTAGGAGAGAGGGAGATTACTTCCCAGTAAAAGTAGGTCTTAGGCAGGGATGTGTAATGTCACCATGGTTGTTTAACATATTTATAGATGGGGTTGTAAAAGAAGTAAATGTTAGAATGTTGGGGAGAGGGGTGGGATTAAATTATGGGGAATCAAATACAAAATGGGAGTTGATGCAGTTACTTTCTGCTGATGATGCTGTGCTTTTGGGGGATTCTAAAGAAAATTACAAAGGTTAGTGGATGAGTTTGGGAGGGTGTGCAAAGTTAAAAGTGAACATAGATAAGAGTAAGGTGATGAGCCTAAGGGTGTGCAAAGTTAAAAATGAACATAGATAAGAGTAAGGTGATGAGCCTATCAAATGAGACAGGTAAAGAAAAATTGGATATCACATTGGAGGGAATATGGAAGAAATGTATGTGTTCAGATATTTGGGAGTAGATTTATCAGCAAATGGGTTTATAAAGGAAAAAAGGTGAGTGGTGCATTGAGGTATCTGTGGAGACAAAGAACATTATCCATGGAGGAAAAGAAGGAAATGTACGAGAGTATAATGGTACCAACACTCTTATATGGGTGTGAAGCATGAGTTGTAAATGCTGCAGCAAAGAGGCAGCTGGAGGCAGTGGAGATGTCATTTCTAAGGGCAATGAGTGGTGTAAATATTTTGCAGAGAATTCGTAGTGTGGAAATTAGGAGGAGTTATGGAGTTGCTAAAAGCATTAGTCAGAATGCTGAAGAGGGGCTGTTGAGGTGGTTTGGTCATTTAGAGAGTAGAATGACTTGGAGAGCGTATAAATCTGTTGGGGAAGGAAGGCAGGGTAGGGGTCCTCTCCAGAAAGGTTGGAGGGAGGGAGGCTTGGCTTTCCAGTAAGTGTCTGTGTGAGCATGTTAGATAGGAGTGAATGGAGATGAATGGTTTTTGGGACCTGACAAGCTGTTGGAGTGTGAGCAGGGCAATATTTTGTGAAGGGATTCAGGAAAACTGGTTAGCCAGACTTGAGTCCTGGAAATGGGAAATACAATGCCTGAACTTTAAAGGAGGGGTTGTTTGGAATATTAGCAGTTTGGAGGGACGTTTAAGCTGTTGTATCTGAGCGCCTCTGCAAAGACAGTGATTATGTATGAGTGATGGTGAAAGTGTTGACTGATGATGAAAGTTCTTTCTTTCTTTTTGGGTCACCCTGCCTCAGTGGGAAAAAGCCGACGCAATAAAAAATAACAACTGCAATGGATGAGATTATTATTTAATAATAATAACAACTGCAATAGATGAAATTATTATTATTATTAATGAAGAAGTGCTATTCCCAAAGGGATCATACATCACCTGTTTGAAAGGAAATAATAGTGATAGGAGGTACAATGTCCTCACAAGATAATGTCATACAAGATTAGTGCTTTCTTGTGAATAATAATTGTTATTATAATATTCAAGGCCCTGGACATGTTCATATGCAGGGCAATGAACGGGCAGATGCTGCTGTGCAGTCAGTAGTACGTGATCTTCCGGTTTCCTATAGGGATTACAGTCTCTCTTCACTTAGTTATGTACAGTAGTACTCGTTTACTGATGCCTCAGACTTACGACGGGCTCTCTGACCAGTATTCATACCTAAATAATGTATATTAGAGCTGATTTCCTCTATTCTGTTTACGTATTTCAATGTACAGTACACTACTGTATAAACATTTAAAAATATACCAGAAATGTTATAAATGATGCAAAGGTGACATTAAAACAATATCAAAGTTGGATGACACAAACTCACTACCATTACAGTATGCTCCTCACTTGGCGTCGAATTCATTTAATGACGTGATCTTAGGAACGGAACTCCATCATTAAGTAAGGAGAGGCTGTATTTTACAGTTATCTCTGCCTGTCTTCGTGGCCATTGGCAACAATAGCGGTCGGACATGCACCATAACAAATTGTACTCTATTAAACCGCCCGGTTTACCAGCGAGCTCGCAAGATTTACCTCCACCGATGCTGCCGCGCTACTGCTCTTACCTTATCTTCCCTTCTTGCAGACAGCTCTGCCTTTGACTAACAATCACTTCTTTACTTATTGTCAGCAACTGCTTTACTATACGAACTTTGATACATAGCCCTTAGTGTCCCTTCCAGCCCTTTTCTCCCCTCACCTCTGATCCCCTCTCCACCTAGCCATTTATAGCCCTGGCACTATTTTCTGCTCTGCAGCACTGCATGACCCCTGTCGGTTCAGTGCTTCTTTGATTATAATAATAATAATAATAATAATAATAATAATAATATTCAAGGAGAAACATTAAACCCACTGGCCTGGTAGTTAAAGCTCCCGCTTCACACACAGAGGGCCTGGGTTCGATTCCCGGCAGGTGGAAACATTTCGACACGTTTCCTTACACCTGTTGTCCTGTTCACCTAGCAGCAAATAGGTACCTGGGTGTTAGTCGACTGGTGTGGGTCGCATCCTGGGGGGACAAGATTGAGGACCCCTATGGAAATAAGTTAGTCCTCGATGATGCACTGACTTTCTTGGGTTATCTTGGGTGGCTAACCCTCTGGTGTTAAAAATCTGAACGAAATCTTATCTTATCTAGGGAATGGGAGTAAATCAGATTTGGTCTGAGGAAAGGGAGGGTAAACCAATTCCTTAGCTCAGGAGCCTCTCACCAACACAAAGCACCCCCATAAATATAGTAATAATACAGTAATAACAAAATAATAAATAATAATAATTAGTATCACTATTTACTTTTGCTGCTTGAAGCTGAGTGATAGTTTATACTGTAGTACATAATAAATAATACTGGCCAACAATGGTTTCAGTTCACATTGAGAAATGTGTTTCTAATTTTGGGAAGCTGTATTCAAATTTGAACTTAGTTTTGCTCTAACACATTTAGTTTATGTAAAATAGAACCCCAAAGTGGATGATTTCACCAAGAGAGCCATCATGAGAAGTGATATGGGGAAACCTGACAGTTTGATGGCCGAGTAGTGCTGGACACTGGTATAGGACAGCTCTCATACTGAACACAGGCCATAAAACCTGAAAACTGTGATGTAAATTTGCTTATATGACTGTATGGAAATTTCTGTTGTTTTTGTTATGCATATATATTCTGTATACAATGAAAGATTTGCTTTTTGGCATTGTATGTACCACACTTAATATATGTACATGTATAATGTAATACCTATTCAAATTCAAATTCAAAGTTTATTCTCTATAAGGATTACAATGCTGAGTTTACAGAATTTGGTTATTGTGTGGTTTACATGTAGTAAAATAATGATTACAGAGTGTACCACTAGAACACCCAGCATGGCTAGGCATTTCGGGCAGACTTAGTTTAAATCTTAATTTTAAAATATTACAAATTATGAGGTAAGTTGGTATTATGGCTAAGTGACTAAATACGAGATTGTGAGTTTAGCAATGTGAACGCTTTTGTTTTGGCACAGTACATAGTTTCAGTAATGGAGTATCACAGGATTCATTATTTTAAGATTGAGATTAATATTTCTGTTTATGGTCAAATGGGTGAGTGAGTGTAAGTGTGAACCACCAGGTGGTATTCGTGTAGTTAGTTGACGGGGTGTATCAGGGAGATAAGATGTTTTCTAATGGTAGTTTTGAAGGTGATGAATGTGTCTGCAGTTCTAGAGTTCTCAGGTAGGGTGTTCCAGATTTTAGGGCCTTTGACATACATTGAATTTTTGTAAAGGTTTAGTCGGACACGGGGAATGTCGTAGAGATGTTTGTGTCTGGTGTTATGCCTGTGGGTTCTGTCACAACTATCAAGAAAGCATTTTAGGTCAAGGTTGATATTGGAGTTTAAGGTCCTGTAGATGTAGATCGCACAGTAAGTGTGGATGTACTGAACAGGGAGTAAGTTTAGATCTATGAAAAGTGGGGGGGGGGGGTGTTGCCAGGGATGGGATTTAGTGATTATTCTTACTGCAGCTTTTTGTTGGGTTCTTATTGGCTTTAGGGGTGTTGCTGCAGTTGATCCCCAAGCACAAATAGCATAGGTGAGGTATGGATAAATAAGTACTCACCTATTTGTACTCACCTATTTGTGGTTGCAGGGGTCGAGTCTTAGCTCCTGGCCCTGCCTCTTCACCGGTTGCTACTGGGCCCTCTCTCTCCCCGCTCCATGAGCTTTATCAAACCTCGTCTTAAAACTGTGTATGGTTCCTGCCTCCACTGGAGTTTACCTGGAGTTTACCTGGAGAGAGTTTCGGGGGTCAACGCCCCCGCGGCCCGGTCTGTGACCAGGCCTCCTGGTGGATCAGCGCCTGATCAACCAGGCTATTCCACTGCCTTACAACTCTATGACTGAAGAAATACTTCCTAATATCTCTCTGACTCATTTGTGTCTTCAACTTCCAATTGTGGCCTCTTGTTTCTGTGTCCCCTCCCTGGAACATCCTGTCTTTGTCCACCTTGTCTATTCCATGCAGTATTTTATATGTCGTTATCATGTCTCCCCTGACCCTCCTGTCCTCCAGTGTCGTCAGGCCGATTTCCCTTAATCTTTCTTCATAGGACATTCCCCTTAGCTCTGGAACTAACCTTGTGGCAAACCTTTGTACTTTCTCTAGTTTCTTGACATGCTTTATCAAGTGCGGGTTCCAAACAGGTGCTGCATACTCCAGTATGGGCCTGACATACACGGTGTACAGTGTCTTGAACGATTCCTTACTAAGGTATCGGAATGCTGTTCTCAGGTTTGCCAGGCGCCCATATGCTGCAGCAGTTATCTGATTGATGTGTGCTTCCGGAGACATGCTCGGTGTTATACTCACCCCAAGATCTTTCTCCTTGAGTGAGGTTTGCAGTCTTTGGCCACCTAGCCTATACTCTGTCTGTGGTCTTCTGTGCCCTTCCCCTATCTTCATGACTTTGCATTTGGCAGGATTAAATTCGAGAGTGAGTGGTATAGTGTGAGAAGGGCATTTTGCGGCACGTAGTATCGTATCTTGGAGAGGATCCCAACCGTTTTGGATACTTTTTTGGTTATGTGTTGGATATGGGTGCTGAAATTCAGGTTGTTGTCAAGGTATAGGCCTAAGAATTTGCCCTCATTATGTCTGGTAATTAGTGTTGTCGATCTTAATGTTAATTTATGCATCTCCTGCTCTGCTACCAAACATAATATAGTAGGTTTTGTCAGTGTTAAGCGTAAGTTTATTGGCTGTCATCCAAGTCGATATTTTGATCAGTTCCTTGTTAACAATGTTAGGTAACATATATTGTGTGGCTCTTCAACCTTAAATAGCCAAAATATTGATCATGAGATTTTAAAACTTACGTGATAGAGACTGAACAAGCTCAGGTTTGTGATCTGTGTATCAGCTCAAAACAACCAATTTGGCTTCTAAACTGGATATGTTAAAATTTGGCACAAATTGTTAAACGTGGTTAACGCTCTCGCTTCACACGATGAGGGCCTGGGTTCGATTCCCAGCCAGAGTAGAAACATTGGACGTGTTTCTTTCCACCTGTTGTCTATGTTCCCCATCGGTAAAATGGGTACCTGGGTGTTAATCGACTGGTGTGGGTCGCATCCTGGGACACTGACCTAAGGAGGCCTGGTCACAGACCGGGCCGCGGGGGCGTTGACCCCCGGAACTCACTCCAGATAAACTCCAGATTAGCTGCTTGAAATCTTATTATTTAAACTGTACAATGATGAATGGGTTGTGCAATGGCGACAATTATATTTTAAGCTTATGGAGAAAAAACTTTTTTTTTTGGTAATAAAACCCCAATTTAACCTAAAATTTAACTCAAAACGTAGATTAGCTTATGGCCACAAAATAGAGCGAAACACCAACGTCAAAGACCTGGGAGTGATCATGTTGGAGGATCTCACCTTCAAGGACCTTAACATTGTATCAATCGCATCTGCTAGAAAAATGACAGGATGGATAATGAGAACCTTCAAAACTAGGGAGGCCAAGCCCATGATGACACTCTTCAGGTCACTTGTTCTATCTAGGCTGGAATATTGCTGCACACTAACAGCACCTTTCAAGGCAGGTGAAATTGCTGACCTAGAAAATGTACAGAGAACCTTCACGGTGCGCATAACGGAGATAAAACACCTCAATTACTGGGAGCGCTTGAGGTTCCTAAACCTGTATTCCCTGGAATGCAGGCGGGAGAGATACATGATTATATACACCTGGAAAATCCTAGAGGGACTAGTACCGAACTTGCACACGAAAATCACTCACTACGAAAGCAAAAGACTTGGCAGACGATGCACCATCCCCCCCAATGAAAAGCAGGGGTGTCACTAGCACGTTAGGAGACCATACAATAAGTGTCAGGGGCCCGAGACTGTTCAACTGCCTCCCAGCATACATAAGGGGGATTACCAACAGACCCCTGGCAGTCTTCAAGCTGGCACTGGACAAGCACCTAAAGTCGGTTCCTGACCAGCCGGGCTGTGGCTCGTACGTTGGTTTGCGTGCAGCCAGCAGCAACAGCCTGGTTGATCAGGCTCTGATCCACCAGGAGGCCTGGTCACAGACCGGGCCGTGGGGGCGTTGACCCCGGGAACTCTCTCCAGGTAAACTCCAGGTAATCAATTTAAGCTCTAAACCCTCATATATGTTGTTTTTTTTTTTTGTTGTTACAAACAAAACAAATTTTTCCCATAGGCCCATACTATACCTGACTCCGTTACACAACCCAGTTAATGTTGGAGAATTTACAATATTTATCCGAGCAGTTAAAGTAAATACTGACCATTAATAATAATAATAATAATAATAATAATAATAATAATAATAATAACACCAACACCAACATAAGAGTCATCGTACCTTGCCCATTCTGCCATAGCTGAGAATATTGAGGATGTCGTAGTGGTCACTGAGAGACTCCTCAGGAAGATCACAGCTTCCGCCGCCTCCTGACTCAATAACGCTCGCCAACATGTCTTAAATGAAGAAAAATGACATCTGTTACATCCAAAAGTTAATCACTATTTAACAAATTTTTTCGCTAGTAGTATGACTACGGAAGATATAGCTGGAGGAAAAAGTTGGAAGGCTTGTAGCTTTGTGTAAGAGAATTCAGCTCACAACCATAAGAGCCCAGATTTGATTTCCGGGCGGGACAAATTTTCTTTTTTTACACGTTTTACAGGCTAAGAGCTGTTATCCTACCTCTGCTTATTTCAAAGCCCAGCCCTACAGGCTAAGAGCTGTTATCCTACCTCTGCTTATTTCAAAGCCCAGCCCTATCTAAGGTTTATTACCTCCCCCTGGGATGCGACCGACAACTGTCTTCTAACACCCAGGTACCTACTTAGTGCTGGGGATCGAAGCAAGGACCCTCAGTATGTGAGCTGAGTGTGCTACCAACCGAGCCACAGGATGTATTAGTAGGGCTCTTGACATCTTACTGCCCATGTTCACATAGCAGTACATAGGTACTACGTAGGAGTTCGTTGACTGTTTTATGCTGCATAGTAGGGACTCACACTGGAACTAAGCCATACTACCTGACTTTCCTAAGTTAATAGCTTCAGTCTGAAGAGTGTAAGCTCAAAAACGTACTTTTCAACCCACTAGTTTGTTGGTTAATTAAGCTTAAACCCTATCGACTACTCAAAGGGCCGTTAAGGCTGCATGTCACCTATTCACCACCAGTCAAGAATACTTTAATCCCTAAAATATACACTTAAATATGCCTGGAGTTTACCTGGAGAAGGTTTCGGGGGTATAAAATTCTTTCATTAACCTACTTCATTCCTTGTACTGAATAACCCATGCAAGTTTAGAGCATTTTGTGTATAACATTTGCTCATTAAGTTTTAATAATAATAATAAGAATAATAATATATTAGAATATTCAACATTAGTTACCTGAAAATGAAATCTTGGGGACGCCGTTTACAAGACACAGTACTTACATAAGACCAATACTACAGGCAAACCTAGCTTGGAGCCATCACCCTGTCAAATGTAAATATTCTTGAAAATACAGAGGAAACTGAGAAACATAAGAGAAAAGAGTAAGTAAGCTGAATCCAGCATCACTGAAGAGAAGAAACGGCAGATACGGCCACAACATACAAGATACTCAGTGGTATAAAATATACAGAAACATATATCAGTTTTATTCTGACTTGGGAGAGATTTAAACGAAGGAACAGAAACGAAAGTTCAGTACATAAATGAGCTGTAAGGACATTAAAAAGCATTTTTCAAATGTTAGGGTAGCAAAGTAGACAACGTTAGAGAACCAGGTTGTGGAGACAGGCTACATACAGAGTTTCGAATCTGGGTATGGCTACTGAGAATACACTAGTCAAATATGAATTAGTTGGCGGGACTGCAAGAGCCAGAGTACAAATCCCCGGAAACGCAAGAAGGGAAGTACAATCAGACGAGTACCCACACGTCAGATACTATTCAGTGCAGGAGCCTCCTTACTCCCCTGCCCTTCAGTTTACCTCAGCTTTGATTCACCTGTTCTCGCCAGGTGTGGGCAAATTTCCCCGTGTGACATCTGATGGTGGGCTGGGATGTTGCCATAGTTACGGAGCAGAGCAGTGCAACAGGTCGCCCTCACCCCCATCTTCATCCCCCTCCCCTCCCTTCTGAAGTTCACGTGGGGGATCCTCTCTCCCGATGTGCTGCTGCTGCCAATTCTGCTATTAATGCTATTGCTGCTGGAGCTGCTGCTGCTAGTTATGTTGGCGGCGGTTATGCTGCTGCTGCGGCTGGAGTTTACCTGGAGTTTACCTGGAGAGAGTTTCGGGGGTCAACGCCCCCGCGGCCCGGTCTGTGACCAGGCCTCCTGGTGGATCAGCGCCTGATCAACCAGGCTGTTGCTGCTGGCTGCACGCAAACCAACGTACGAGCCACAGCCCGGCTGATCAGGAACTGCCTTTAGGTGCTTGTCCAGTGCCAGCTTGAAGACTGCCAGGGGTCTGTTGGTAATCCCCCTTATGTGTGCTGGGAGGCAGTTGAACAGTCTCGGTCCCCTGACACTTATTGTATGGTCTCTTAACGTGCTAGTGACACCCCTGCTTTTCATTGGGGGGATGGTGCATCGTCTGCCAAGTCTTTTGCTTTCGTAGTGAGTGATTTTCGTGTGCAAGTTCGGTACTAGTCCCTCTAGGATTTTCCAGGTGTATATAATCATGTATCTCTCCCTCCTGCGTTCCAGGGAATACAGGTTTAGAAACCTCAAGCGCTCCCAGTAATTGAGGTGTTTTATCTCCGTTATGCGCGCCGTGAAAGTTCTCTGTACATTTTCTAGGTCGGCAATTTCACCTGCCTTGAAAGGTGCTGTTAGAGTGCAGCAATATTCCAGCCTAGATAGAACAAGTGACCTGAAGAGTGTCATCATGGGCTTGGCCTCCCTAGTTTTGAAGGTTCTCATTATCCATCCTGTCATTTTTCTAGCAGATGCGATTGATACAATGTTATGGTCCTTGAAGGTGAGATCCTCCGACATAATCACTCCCAGGTCTTTGACGTTGGTGTTTCGCTCTATTTTGTGGCCAGAATTTGTTTTGTACTCTGATGAAGATTTAATTTCCTCATGTTTACCATATCTGAGTAATTTAAATTTCTCATCGTTGAACTTCATATTGTTTTCTGCAGCCCACTGAAAGATTTGGTTGATGTCCGCCTGGAGCCTTGCAGTGTCTGCAATGGAAGACACTGTCATGCAGATTCGGGTGTCATCTGCAAAGGAAGACACGGTGCTGTGGCTGACATCCTTGTCTATGTCGGATATGAGGATGAGGAACAAGATGGGAGCTAGTACTGTGCCTTGTGGAACAGAGCTTTTCACCGTAGCTGCCTCGGACTTTACTCTGTTGACGACTACTCTCTGTGTTCTGTTAGTGAGGAAATTATAGATCCATCGACCAACTTTTCCTGTTATTCCTTTAGCGCGCATTTTGTGCGCTATTACGCCATGGTCACACTTGTCGAAGGCTTTTGCAAAGTCTGTATATATTACATCTGCATTCTTTTTGTCTTCTAGTGCATTTAGGACCTTGTCGTAGTGATCCAGTAGTTGAGACAGACAGGAGCGACCTGTTCTAAACCCATGTTGCCCTGGGTTGTGTATCTGATGGGTTTCTAGATGGGTGGTGATCTTGCTTCTTAGGACCCTTTCAAAGATTTTTATGATATGGGATGTTAGTGCAATTGGTCTGTAGTTCTTTGCTGTTGCTTTACTGCCCCCTTTGTGGAGTGGGGCTATGTCTGTTGTTTTTAGTAACTGAGGGACGACCCCCGTGTCCATGCTCCCTCTCCATAGGATGGAAAAGGCTCGTGATAGGGGCTTCTTGCAGTTCTTGATGAACACAGAGTTCCATGAGTCTGGCCCTGGGCAGAGTGCATGGGCATGTCATTTATCGCCTGTTCGAAGTCATTTGGCGTCAGGATAACATCGGATAGGCTTGTGTTAATCAAATTTTGTGGCTCTCTCATAAAAAATTCATTTTGATCTTCGACTCTCAGTCTGGTTAGCGGCTTGCTAAAAACTGAGTCATATTGGGACTTGAGTAGCTCACTCATTTCCTTGCTGTCATCTGTGTAGGACCCATCTTGTTTAAGTAGGGGCCCAATACTGGACGTTGTTCTCGATTTTGATTTGGCATAGGAGAAGAAATACTTTGGGTTTCTTTCGATTTCATTTATGGCTTTTAGTTCTTCCCGCGATTCCTGACTCCTAAAGGATTCTTTTAGCTTAAGTTCGATGCTTGCTATTTCTCTGACCAGTGTCTCCCTGCGCATTTCTGATATATTGACCTCTTTTAGCCGCTCTGTTATTCTTTTCCGTCGCCTGTAAAGGGAGCGCCTGTCTCTTTCTATTTTACATCTACTCCTCCTTTTTCTTAGAGGAATAAGCCTTGTGCATACATCGAGTGCCACCGAGTTAATCTGTTCTAGGCATAAGTTTGGGTCTGTGTTGCTTAGTATATCTTCCCAGCTTATATCGGTTAGGACTTGGTTTACTTGGTCCCACTTTATGTTTTTGTTATTGAAGTTGAATTTGGTGAATGCTCCCTCGTGACTAGTCTCATTTTGTCGGTCTGGGGCTCCACGCATACATGTCTGAACCTCAATTATGTTGTGATCTGAGTATATTGTTTTTGATATGGTGATATTTCTTATCAGATCATCATTGTTAGTGAAGATGAGGTCTAGTGTATTCTCCAGTCTAGTAGGCTCTATTATTTGCTGGTTTAAATTGAATTTTGTGCAGAGATTTAAAAGCTCGTGTGAGTGTGAGTTTTCATCAGAGCTGCCTCCTGGTGTTATTACTGCAACAATATTATTTGCTATATTCCTCCATTTTAGGTGCCTTAAGTTGAAATCCCCCAGGAGCAAGATGTTGGGTGCAGGAGCTGGAAGATTTTCCAGACAGTGGTCAATTTTTAACAGCTGTTCCTGGAATTGCTGGGATGTTGCATCCGGAGGCTTGTAGACTACCACAATGACTAGGTTTTGGTTCTCGACCTTTACTGCTAAAACTTCCACTACGTCATTTGAGGCATTAAGCAGTTCTGTGCAAACAAGTGACTCTGCAATGTACAGGCCAACCCCCCCTTTTGCCTGTTCACTCTGTCACATCTGTATAGGTTGTAACCTGGGATCCATATTTCGTTGTCCAAGTGATCCTTTATGTGGGTCTCAGTGAAAGCCGCGAACATTGCCTTTGCCTCTGCAAGCAGTCCACGGATGAAAGGTATTTTGTTTATTGCTGGCTTTAGACCCTGTATATTTGCAAAGAAGAATGTTATCGGACTGGTGGTATTGTTGGTACTGGGGGGGGATTTTTTTTCCGGCATTAGTATCTGTATCTGTTGGTTTGGAGTGGAGGCCATCGACTGTGGTTCCACTCCAGGAATGACTGGATTTGGTGTACGATTTCTGCCATTTCCTGCCAGTTTTTTTTCCTTCCTGG